CTCCCCACACACCAGCTCTCAGTGGGGAGGAGAGCAGAGTAAGAAGGCTCCACAACCGAAACGTTGCGTTTTCTCTCTTCTCTTTTCAGCAGGGAATAAACCTGTTACTTGTTCCTTTGCAGACTACGCGTGCCGACGCAGCTCCCCACCTGATCTATTTCAATAACAATAATAATACACGAAATACCAATAACACTCATGTGACAAAACAACTATATGTTTAAGTGTGGGAATGTTATTAGCACCACTGTATTCCAGAATATCACTGGGGAATTTCAGACTATACATTTATTTCAAATGAGTCATAACCACCTGAAAGGAAAATTGCACACTTCCTAGGCGAGGAAATGAATTCCAGGCCTGGGTGGAATTGAGGAATCTAGGTGTAATGGCATGGTACGTTTTAAGGAAAAACATCGTCATACAGATCTTCGGGGTCATTTGCTTTCCTGGAGCAATAGTTATACTACTGCTTTTCTGAGAACAAAGTGGAAAAACCCCATCAGAACTGTTTCTATGCAGATACGCGGTTTATAATTCCAGTTCACCAAAACCCGTGCTTCAGTTTCCCTGAACGGAGCCCCTGGTTTCTAAACGATGGTCTGCAATAACAGAGGCTCTGCTTCCTGGGCCTGTCCTCAGGTACAGCTGCCCAGCGTGTAAAAACAAACCCCTCTGCAGTGTTGGGCCAGTAGCGTCTCAAACGCTCATTTCTTTAACGTAACAAAACCCTTTTTCTTTTCACTTAGACTCTCCCGCTCCTTGTAGTTATTACTAAAAGAGAAGGAAAGAATAATCTGTCATTTCTGAACGTACCTAGCCAGAGTCAGGACTTTTCTGTCATGTTTGCTTCCAAACTTCATAACTGAGTCTGGACACTTCATCAACCACTGCTGTGATCAACAAACAGGCTTCCTCCAATCGCATTTTTTAAACAGTTTATGAAAGAGGTGCTCATAAAAATGAGGAAAACGTAGGCTTACTAGATGATACACAAACTACTTGTGTCCTGTCGGCACAAAACTGCAGAAATGACGGAAGAGACAACAGTCAGGCTCCCAGAGAGAGAGAGAGATCAACACCATCAAAAGCCAAAAGCTTCAATCAGTTTACGGTGGGAGTATCAGAAAGGACAACACGGTCACAAAAAAGGCAAGTCTACAGCCCACCATAATATCTACACGAGGCTTAAGAAATATTCGCGAGCCGGAGACGACATCCCTGATTAAGTCAAAACACACGGAGAAATGTGCAAGGGCTCGTAAACCAATCACCCAGGCGGTTATTCTTATTCCAGACGTTTCTGAAGCAAAATGATCAGGATGCTTAGAAGTAAAATCTTGCGGGTTTTTTTTTGTCCCGACCAAACAAGTGGATTACCCAAGAAAAAAAGTTGTTGTTTTTTTACCTGGCTGTGGATGCAAAGCTGACCTATTTGCTGCAGCACGCCGTGTCAGATAACTATATATATATAAAAACCGTCTGTACAGCGAACGCAGAATTCCTGCTACACGGTGAATCCATGCAGATCGGGTCAAGTTGACTTCAATTTCCAGCAAACTGCGTCAAGCGACACGTCCCCCTGACCGGTCCTTCCTGGAAAGCAGAACTCGTCTGGGAACGAGCAGCAGCTGCCCCCACTCGGGAAGACAGAGACAGAGACAGACAGAGACAGAGAGACAGACAGGGACACACACAGACAGAGACAGGGACACACACAGGGACACACACAGACAGAGACAGAGAGACAGACAGGGACACACACAGACAGAGACACACGCTGACAGACACCCTGCTCCTGCTGTCCTGGGCTCTCTCATGAAGTCACACCTCAACTGCGTGGACCGGTGTCAGGCGGCCAGGGGAACAGGGACAAGATGTCACACAAACTCATCGCGAACCCACTTTCACTCGAAATCCGCTTTCCACCCCCAGCTCCTCCAGGGACACATCTATTTCTTTTCTTCTAAACGGGCACCTCGGCGACATTATACCCCACCACCGCAATCAGACCGATTTCTGCTGTTACTTTTTGGGGTTACTCCTCTACTGTTACTCAGCGAATTCGTGCGACGAGCCTTTCTTTTCCTCCCGACAGCTTCACATAAACTCACAACAACAACAACAACAACAACGACACGATCTCCCTCTCCCCGTCCTGTCGGGGGGGGGGAGGGCTGGAAAGGCCGGCGACAGACACGTTTACTGTCATTACCTGCGCAGGAAGACGCTTTTAAAGAAACGTGTATTAAATAAACGATCACGCACTCCCAGCCACAGGACCGACGTTAAATCCTCCGGTCCCACCAGCTCGTCAGACCCAGGGCTCAGCTCTGCACGAACCGAGGCCCAAATGAGTCTCAACACAGGATCCGCCAGTCCGCTGTCCTACCCTGCCACACGAACATCGTTTTAAACCTAAACTTCGGCGCGGCTAACGGTTTCTTTTCTCTTCTTGGTAAAACACATATTAACTGGCGCTCCTGAAACCTAGAAACACAAAACTAACAACCAACCTGTTTCGGTGAATTGCAGTGGGTAGCTGTTTTTCCTGCTGTTTTCGTACACACAAAAAAACCCATGTGAGCATGCGCGATGGATCTTTGGGGGTGGCACTTTGGGATTTGTAGTTTTTCGATGTAAAACAAATGGTTAACGTTTACTGCTGTAAACTTAGAAAAACTACAGTATCCATATGCCCTCTGTGCTGTGTTTTTATATATATATACAGTAAACTATATATAACTTTGATATACGTTTGTAGGTTTCAACGTCAAGGAAAATGTTACTAAACGGCTCCCTTTAGAGCAACAGAATCTAAACAAATTACAAAATTCTTAATGCATTTTGTAATTACATATGCTGTATTAGCTAACTAGTTCACGAGTGCAATATTTTACAGGCGTTTAACCACTTACAACAATTGCTAATTGCTAATTGTCCTGTTTCTTTTTATAGTGCATTTCTTGTTTTATTGTACATTTGCTTTTTTTTTTCATAAGGGCCTGACTCTGCTAGTGGGCGCTGTCAGCTTTTCGTCGAATAGTTCACCCAATTCCTACGTTCGGTGAGTTTCTTGAAGCTCCTGATGAGGTGTTTTTATATATACATAAATATTACCTTCTAGATTTTGAATTCAGGTGTAAGCACCCATGTTTATGACGATCTCTGCAAGATAATAAGGGATATTTGGAATTTTAACTATTTTCCCACATAATGTTTTAATTTTTTTTAAGGCATTAGAAAAATAATGCTAGAGATAATAAACATACTGAATAATATCTTTAATAGCAGTGCTTTTTAATATGTGCACTGGGGCACATTTCTAAATGCTTAGTTTGCTCCTGTGAATTCAAAATTATAAAAGCAAAGCCTGAAAATGAGAAATGGCACATTGCCAGAATAAAATAAACATTTTATTATGGCGAGATTAAATGAGCATTCGTTTACTAATACAATTTTAGTCACTAATAATAACTTGAATTGATCTCTCTCTTTAGCTCCAAATGTCCTGAAACACCTTGCGTGTAGAAAGGACTTCATCCACACAGGGACACCTGGCAGTCGTCACACACCAGCAGCCCCACCGGTGGAGACATCAGCAATTACTTCACTAATTTAATTAAGGCAAAACTGTAGGTAGAGCAGAATGTAGCTGCGCTATGGGATCTTTAACCACCAGATGGTTACAGATCTTGGCTTAACATCTCATCTGAAGCTCAGGGTCCTCTGTCACCATGCTGGGTCACTGGTTTGGAAATCCTGGTCCACAGGGAGTGTTGGAGACCCACCACCATCACACCAGCAACCCAGTTCTACTCCAGGCCCGGTCATTGCTTCGTTTCCGGGACCCCACAGTGATACCAACTTAACCTGCGCTCGTGGTCAAAACCATGTCACCCTGACGCTCACTGCTGGGAGCCCACTGAAGCTCAGCAGGTGTGAGCCTGGTCAGTACCTGGATGGGAGACTCCTGGGAAAAACTGCTGCTGGAAGAGGTGTTAGTGGGGCCAGCAGGGGGCGCTCACCCTGTGGTCTGTGTGGGTCCTAATGCCCCAATATAGTGACGGGGACACTGTACTGTAAACAGGCGCCGTCTTTCAGATGAGACGTAAAATTGAGGTCCTCTCTGTGGTCATTAAAAATCCCAGGGTGTTTCTCGAAAAGAGTAGGAGTGTTACCCCTGTGTCTTGGCCAAATTTCCCCCTCATCTTTACCCATCATGGCCTCCTAATAATCCCCTCTCTGAACTCCGCTCTCCTCCCCACTGAGAGCTGGTGTGTGGGGAGCAGACTGGTGCATCATCCAGGTGAAGCTGCACACTGGTGGGGGTGGAGGGGATCCCCATTACCTGGAAAGGGCTTTGAGTGGGGTGTCCAGAAAAGCACTATACGAGTGTCACAGTTCAGTGTCTGTATTTCTCCGTGCGCACCAGTGCGTGTCCGTGTTTGGCACGTGCCCTCGTTCAGACAGCCGCCCTCTCTCAGGCTCTCGTGCTGCTCCGGGGGGTGGGCTGTGGCGCCCGCACTGCTGGTGCGGAGGTGGGGGCGCCTCTTCCGGGTTTCTAGGCGAACCCATCACTAGGCCAACACCACAGTCCAGAGCCGGCTCCTGCCGGGAAAGAAGGGACAGGCAGCAGTTTCTTCCCTGGGACAGCAGAGAGTCCTGGTGAGAAATCCATCTGGGAACATGAGGATCGAGAGATGTGGAAAAACCCCGAGCTGTTCCTGGAAGTGTGCAGGAGTCGGCCTGCCAGCCCAGAATCAACCCCAGAACCCACGAGCTGTGAGACAGCGCCACCTGCCTCAGTTTCCTCACCCCCCAGAACACGTTGATCACTTTCAAACCACTTTTTTGGTAAATGATATTCTTTATTTACAGCACAAAAGAAGAGACAATTCAGATTTTTCTCACAGAAAAGATGTGAAGCAAAAATGTTTAAGCACAGTCGCCTCCGTCTGAAATGAGTGTTGCTGGGTCATGCCTGCTAGCATACAACGAGCCGGAATAAATTGGTCAATATGTTGTCGCAATGACACCAGTTACAGTCACCACCAGAAAACCAGATGAAATACACACAGAGCAAAGAATTCATATTTCCCAATACATTGCAAGCTACCCTGAACACTGTTGCATTAATGAAATGCATCTACTTCCCTGTGCCAACTCAAGAGAATCATGTGATCTTACCCACCTCATTCCTCAGAGAAAGGGTCCTTTGTAAGGCTTCTTGGCAACCAAAGGAAAAACTACACAGCGATACTTTCGTTTCTATTCAAGTGAAGGCTGGCATCATGGTAAACACTGAGAGCTGAGCATGTACGCCAAGCAGTATTCATTTTCCCAGCTGAAGGATGTAATTTGCTAGCAACACAGAGACCTCACTTCAGTCAGCTCTTTTATCTCACTGCTGGGACCCCTGTGAGGGACAGATGAACGAGCAGGAACTATTCCCGTTCACGGAAAGAGTTTGGTCTCGTTACTTGCACGCTCTCACAGTGGAAATCCCCACGGCCGCCGTTTTTTAAAGGCCTCAAATCAAAGAAAAAGGCAGAAAAAGCCATGTAAGAGAGTCATAGTTAGACAAACTTGCAATGAGTGGCAACTAATTATTGTCAACACAGAGAATACCCACCCTCCATGATAATGCTCTGTTGGAAGACAGACCACAAGAGAAGTCTGAAATGACAAAATTATACATGGACAAAAATCAGGCAGTGGGATCGAAAATATTGTGATGCCGAGAACATCAAGCCCACTTTGGTTTATTGTTAGATTTATCGGTGGAAGAAAGTGCTTTATTTACAGAACTCCTAGGGTATACGACTATAAAATTCTAAAACATAAGAAAGGCCTCAAACAAGAGAAGGCCATTTAGGCCATCTTGTACATTTGCAAGTTGGGCTGCTGGTAGGGGATTGAGCAAAGGATCTTGTCCCAACTGCCATTCGAGCAAGAAAAAGAGAGTTAGAGGAACCCTTTCAATACTCTCACAATGCTTTGCACAAAGTAGCAACTCCTGCTCTTAAGAAATAAGATAAGATCACTTTATTGGCCCTATACAATTTCTTGCATTAGGAATTTGTCTTTTCGCATACCCCAGCTTGCTCTCCATGAGACACACAGACAGGGAGAGAAGCTGGGGGTCAGAGCGCAGGGTCAGCCATTTATACAGCACCCCTGGAGCAGTTGGGGTGAAGGGCCTTGCTCAGGGGCCCAACGGAGTAGGATTCCTCTGCTGGCCACAGGATTTGAACCGGCAACCTTCCAGCCACAGGCGCAGATCCTGAGCCACAGAGCCACCCCTCAGCCTCTCGTTCTTGGGCTGAAATACACTTTCACGTCATTTCCGCTTGTGTCTTCAGAGAAACAAACAAAGAAACTACTCAGAACATTATGACTCGGCTATGATAATAATCCACACCAATTATAAAACAGCCATAAAAGCAATATTTTCTGCTGTTTCATCCAATTCGGAACTCAGAACTATTCTATCTCCCATCATATAACTGTTAAGACAAACACCAGCACCCTCATGAAACCATCAGAGACAGGAAAAAAACAAAATGAACAGGCTGCTTATGTAAACGATGTGGGTGTTTACCTAACACCCTTCACACCTTCTATTGCCATGTGAAAGCAACGGAAATGTTAGGATATATGGTTAAAAGTGGAGAACTTAAATTAAAAAAAATGCTATAATAAAACTGTGCAGTGCGCTATTAAAATGTCACTCAGAATATTGTCTGCAATTGTGGTCACCATATCATAAAAATCGATATAGCTGGAGAAGAGCAGTCGGATACATTCTGTGGCTTGAAGGAATGTCCTATACCGGAAGACTGAAGGTACTGAACCCATTTAGTGCTGACCAGAGCAGACGTGACACTAGAACTCGAAATCCTCAAAGGCACTGACATGGTGAAACCAGCCGACTTCTTCAGAAGTGGGACACGAACCAGAGGACACAAGCAGAAACTCCACGAAGTGCGTTTAAGACTGAGAGCAGGAGAAACTTCTCAACCCAGAGGGCCGTGGGAGCATGGAACTACCTTGCTGAAGCCCAAACCCCTTAAGATCCCTGGAGTCGCAATCTAAAAATCTCAAAGGACAAACTGGATATCCTCTTGTCTTTACATAGCAATAGAATTGCCGACATTTTTCTGAACTACTGAATCCAAGTGTGCAGCAGAGGTTTAGTGTTTTGCCACATAACATTCGTTTGAACCTGCTTTTGGTTGATTGTTTCAGTTAAAACAAAACAACTTAAAATCTGCTAATTTGGAACCAGCTGCTTTTAACTTCACAGCTGAGCTACTGAGAGCTGTGCTGCATCACTCTGACAAGCACAGTTTACAGGTGACATAGTTTACCAACTGATACACAGGTTTTCCTCACCAACCGTGGGACTTAAGCTCTTTAAAACTCCTGTGATGGGCAAACGCTTGAGTACAAGACAAACTGGGGGTCAGGGCCTGTTGAGCCATGTTACTCATCAATGGCTGACAGAACATGAGGGTTTCTCCCTTAAAAATGACAAATAACAATTGTGTGAATACATGTATACACAATGGAATGTTATTTACCCTCAATCCCGAAACTTAAAGATTGCAAAGGAACTGAATATACTTAAAAGAGCACTGAAATCACACGTACGCTATTCTGAAAGACATGCAACTGAATGTCCAGTTGGGTAGGGACACAATGGTACACGAGGGAGGCAAGACAACAGTGTCGTGAGCTGGAGGAGAAGGAGAGGCACTGTTTGAAAGTTTCAGCAGGCAGAGCCGTGTCTGTATACATTTGGGTATTCGTTTTCAGCAGCTGTTGAATGAGCCGTGCTGACAGTATCCTTTTGAACAGAACGGAGATGGGAGTGGTGTGCAGTACACTGACCAAAACTACAATATTTAACATAAAATGATTACTACTTGTAAACAAATACCCAGGAAAATGAATACTTATTTCTAAATTGGTGCTTAAGACGCAAATACCCAGGACAATTAATACATATTGCCAAGTTGGTGTTTAAGGTGCAAGAGCTGATAATTGCTTTTTAAAATGCATCGGGTTCCAGTAAAATAAACACCAAAAATCAGGAACTAAGCAGATGTGCGACACAGAGTTCTGATAAAACCTGTAAGACATACATGCACCTGTCTTGGGGCTTTCATCACATACCTGAATCCATGTTTCTGACATTTATTAAACATCATGAATGCACGAAGTACAAGTAGCGAAAGAATGATGGCCTGAAGCAATAACACATGAGTTCCTCTGTGGAGCTCGAGTTTAACCATTTCTGCTCTTGATTGATTAAATAAATGTGATTTTGGATTATATTAACTTTTAACATGATGGGTAAAACAGCCTTCTGTACACTTACTGTATGTTTAACCAAAACAAACGACAGTTTTGGAGGAAGGACTAGATTGATCAAATACCCTAAATCCATAATATAACCCACAGAATCCCAAACTTGTTGATGATTGAGCTTCAATTATTACAGGCATTATTCTGCATTTCTAGGTCCACCGACTTAGTGATTCAGACTGGTGTGAGAGAGACCCTTTGTGTGCATAAATACAAAAACGCAACCAGTGACAACCAGACCCAGTAGCATTTGTGTTTTTATATACAGACTATTGCTCCATTTTAACGTGATCGTGATCCGTTATGGGTATGACAACATCCCGTTTCTTTCCGAACACCATCCAAAAGACATAATATTTTTAAAATTACCCTTTTTTTTTTACAAAATTCAAAACCCACTTAAGAGTACTGCTGAACGGACAACACCGGGGGAAAGCATCTGTATCCGGACAGGCTCCGCCAGCGTCGATTTCAGGAAACCAAAACAGAGCTCCATCTCGAGTCGGAACGCACCATAAAAAAAAATCATCTAAGAAATGTACAGCAAACGTGACAAAAATACACAAGGGCTCGGCGGGGTGAGTATTTTACATCTGGATGTGGCAGCAGCTCCCAGGGTCCGCGGCGCGGCTCAGAACATGCAGTTCATGCACTTGACGGACTTGCTGCCGTAGTCCAGGCACTCGGGGCCGATGCACTCGCAGCAGGCGTTGTGGAACCACCGGTACTTGGAGCCGCCCATGGACTCGCAGTACAGCTTGCACTGGCGGATGGACACGCAGTCGTCGAAGTACACCACCGTGCACAGGTTATCTGGGCCGGAACAGAAAGGGCTCGTCAGCGCCCCCTGCCCTCCCTTCGTGGAGAGGGGAAGGGGCGCTGGGAGATCGAGAGCAGATCTGCCGCCGAAATCCCGTCAACATCAAGCGGGAGCTCTCGTCCCTCGACCCATCATGCCCACAAAGACGCCGGTCACGTCATACACCCCGGGGGGCGCCGGAAGGGCTCTGGGAAAGGATTAAGGAGTGCCAGCACACTTCTTTTTTTTTTTTTTTACAATTACAAGTTAAAGCTTTTAAAAGCATCAAGAGCTGTCACTAACGAATCCCTAACGAGGCCTTTGTTCATTCTTAGTAGTCTGCGGTCAGATGTCATAAAAACGATTATGAACCCCCGAAGACAGAGGTAGTGAAACACCACATGCAGCTTGCAACCTTAGTTTTAATATGCAGCTTCTAAAGAAAATGGAAGACTGTGCAAGTTAATTGCTACTTAGAGTAATTTGAGAACCGAATTCTTCCAGTAGGTTTGGTAATTGGTGGTTTATCTGTTCCAAGGTGCCTGGTCCTCCACAATGCATTAAAACTTAAAAATATCACTGCTTTCAATTTCACACAAAAAGTTACCTAGTTCACAGCGAGTACTCCAACATAATGCTTTTTATACATCTTGACAGCAGCTAAGAAAGTTCTGCCACCAATACACGTGGCACAATAAGAGCTAAGAATCATGGTTCTGGAAACATGCCAGTCAGTGGAGCAGACCTAAAACTGTCAGGATGAAAAAAATCAGACAAATTCAAACTTTGGGTTAAAAACGTTAGAAAGTAATGCATTGAACCTCTACCCAGAGTAGCTCATGAAACTACTAGCCACACACACAGCAGGGATGTCCAGCACTATTCTGTAACCTTGTCCACCAGGGCCAGAGAGACCAGATTTGACTGTCTGGCCTTACTGGTCTGGTAGACGTCTCTCTCTGCAGGAGTGAGGTTTAATGAATGGTCTGTTCTAAAAGAGAACGGAAGAGGGTCAAAGGTTCACAACGGAGCCAGGGAAGAACGTAAAAAAAAAATCCCAATCAGGACCAGTTAGGATCACTTGCATCACACGAGTCCTCGAGTACAGCAGGAGCAAGTGTACGTGTGCTTTTGTTTTAAAGCACAGAGGCCCTTAAGACCCCCAGAAAGTTGTTTAGTAACTTGAACGCCTTGTGTCTGTGATCCACTGGAATTTCAATATGTTCAGCTATTTTCTCTTCACTCTCTAATGCATTTAGGATGTTTCTTCCAGTTCTGATATTTAGAATGTTACGTTAAAAACATAATGACTAAGCTGTTTCTCAACTTCAGTGCTTGACTCACACTGTCGTCCTCCGAGAGGCCAGTTTCAATCTTTCAATCCGGATTTTCCAGCCCATCTCCCTAACTCCTGGACCCTCAGCGTGTGGCGTCTTCGCGGGAAGACATATTTAACATGTTTTTGGCCGTTCACTTCCGTTCCTTCACTGGACATTGATCCTAGAGGATCCGCTGGACACGCCAAAACCAATTTACCAATTTAACCAATTAAATGGAAAACCTTTTACCTGGAAACAGTTTGAATTTACAGTTACTCAGACGTTTTACCCGCAGTTTAAAAGGAATGCAGCGTGCGCTTGGTCAAAGTTAGGAAAGCTGCCCCTAAACCGGGCCTACCTCTGGTGCTGTCGTAGCGGGCGTGGATGCTGTTTTTGGGCAGAGAGATGTTCTGCTGCTGGTCCTCGCGCTGCCCCAGGAAGGAGACCAGGCTCTCGTGGTGGGAGAGCTCCTCGGCCACAGGGAAGGACACCACCATCATGTTGATGGGCGCGTCGCCCTCCGTCAGCGCCCGGAACAGGGAGGGGATGGGCCGGTGCAGCTCCTCCACTGTGCTCTTCGACGTGGCCGGCGTGTCGCTGTAGTTCTTGGGATTGCACATCCCTGCAGGGCAGGAGAGGGCATCAAAAACACACTCGAACCAGTAGGACCCATCAGCCAGGGGGAATCCCAGAACTGGGTTAAAACTTGGCATGATGCATTATAAATGGTAATTATCCCACTGCCACCACCAATGTGCAGCCCCACCTGGATGATGCACCATTACACTCACCACACATCAGCTGCGGGGAGAACAGAGTGATAAAGCCAATTCATAGATGGGGATTATTAGGAGGCCATGACCGGTAAAGGTCATGGGGAAATAAGGCACCGGGTAACATCCCTACTCTTTTCAAGAAACACCCTGGGTTTTTTAATGACCAGAGAGTCAGGATCTAGGTTTTACATCTCATTCAAAGGACGGCGCCTTTTTACAGTATAGTGTCCCCGTCGCTGTACTGGGGCATTAGGACCCAAACAAACCACAGGGTGAGTGCCCCCCTGCTGGTCCCACTGACACCTCTTCCAGCAGCAACCTTAGCTTTCCCAGGAGGTCTCCCATCCAGGTACTGGCCAGGCTCACACCTGCTGAGCTTTAGTGGGCTGCCAGTTGTGAGTGCAGGGTGATATAGCAACTATAGTAAGCCTCAAAAGAAAAATAACCTTCTTTCATAATACATCATGCGTGTATTTTTCTGTTTAGAAAAATGAAGTTTAACCGATCTTGTATATTGATTAAATGCATCAATATTTTCTAATGATCGCTCATGTCTGATGGCGATGCGCTAGCAACTGTTTGATAAGCGCTACGTCAACTCACTTCTGAAGGGTCTAATTGAGCACAGGGGATAAGGTGATGTCAGATCTGGTTAAAATGAAGAAAAAGGGAGAAAGGAGTCTTGCCCTGCTTATCAAGAGCAAATGCCTTTCTACCATCTGTGTATCTGTAAGTTGGAGGAACATCACAGGTGGACTGGACTCCATTCTCAGGCTCTGAAGAACAGGAATTCATGTAAGTTATCTACTTATTACACAGCTTGTTTGTTAAGGGAACTCCAGTCTGTGAAATCTAAACATTTTTAACATTGTTACATATCTAGAAATCACTTTAGGAATCACTTGCTTTAGAATTGAGAACTGACAACGAAATGTTCCCCCATTTGAAGCCTGCTGGGCTGGGGACCTCTGCCATCAAGAACGAACAGCACCATACAAAAGGACGAAACCTCCTCTTCCTTGTTTCCATCTTAAAGAAAATCCCTCCCTCCCAAACGCCAGGATAAGCCTCTGCTTGTCACTCGGCACTTCAATCCTGCATCCAAGTGTGCAATCCTAAAACAGATGTCTGGGGTAGCCTTTCCAGTGCAACGTGAGGAAACACGGATCTCAAATATAATAATTACGTTAAAAAAAAAGTTAATTCCACATCATCAACAAGTTGAGCATGATGTCTTTTCTTAAAACTTAAGAATAACTGATAGTTGTAAACAAGCAGTCATTTCGCCCAGCATGCCTGTTTGGCGTCTAGGAATGTGGTGCTTGTTGATCCCAGGAATCCTGTCTCCAATGGTTTCATGAAGGTTGCTGGGGAATTAGCGTACAGGGCTTGACATAGCAGTTTGCTCCATGCACCCAGCACCCGGCACCCTTAACGTACTGGCTCTGAGTCTCAGTGCCGAATACACTGCTGTGAGAGAATCGAACACAAAGCCAGCCAGGCAGTTGGGGTCAATCCAGCCAAAGAGATTCACATCCTTTAACCAGTGGAAAATGTTCTTTTTAGACCTGGAGTCCACAGTAAAGAAGGCTCTACAGTCAGAATGCTACATACTTCACACTGTTATTCTTTCCAGCCTGGACTTAACCACCACTAACAAAAATGTTCAGGATTGGCTAGGTGTCTGGTTAAGATTCTCAAATAAATCTGTTGTGAGAAGTGTGCAGTTTATTCCTTGAATTAAATAACTTCCAGCCACTACAGTCAATAAGCTAGATGAGCTGAATGTCTGCTGTGTTTGTGTTATGTTCACTATAGTTTTCTATAGCGTATCCCTGCAGAGCCTGAAACTCCAGGACAGGTTTTCCATCCTTCTTCTCCCAGCCCGTCAGGCCGAGATCGGGAACATCTGGAGAGAAGGAATGCCGTCCTCACAAGGGAGGAGCTCAACGAGCCCAGAACTCGCCCATTCTCATGCCAGCCAACTTGCTCCCTCTCTGAAACTTTCTTACACTGAAAACTCCACATTCCTTGTGCAGAAACCAGTGTTTCAATTCATTTACTGTTTTCAGCATCCAGAACTAACTCAATAAAAACTATTCCCACTACTATAAGAAAGGATGCAGGTTAGATATTTAACTACTACAGTTATTTATTATTTATCAAACAGGTTAATGGAAGAATTGAAGCAGTCGCACAATGTCAATGTGAGTACTACTATAATTAATCTGTCTGGTCTGCACGAAAACTACTAATGACTATTATTAAAAAATACTAATTATACAAATATGCTAATATCCAAAACACACAGAACCCCATTCATATTGAATAATATGTCATTTTAATCTGTACTTAAAAAACAGCAAACTATTCACATTTGATTACAAGACCAATTTGCAAACAGAAGCAATTTTTGTTGCTATCTTCATTCCATTGCATTTTTTTTAAATATCAAAATAACACCTGAGAAAACTTAGTCAATGAAAAAGAATGTGATTCAAATGTATGCAGCCTTTGGAAAAACATGATTTGCAAACAACTAGATTTATAACTGCAGATACACCTAAGACAAATGTGAGGCACCTGCACAGGTGATTAACGTACTACGCTCTGTTGTTTGCACAGTGCCACACTGGCAGGTCTTTCCTGCCTTTTCAGAATGCTGTGTCCAAGAAAGAGGAGTTCTCTCCACCTGTCTCTGTTAGCCACTGTTCTGTGACACCAATTACATTGTAATCTACAGAATCACCTATTTATAAACTACCAAAAGGCATTTCACGTTGTGAGCATTTCAGTTTTTAATGCACAATAACCCTGAGAGTCAGTAAACCTCAAAATGGGGTTTAAGAACCAACAGGCATCCTAACCAGTATGGAACTATTTTTACATAAGCTCCTGGGGTTTATTTTATACACAAACAGCAGAAAACAGACAAGAATGGTCTAATTACTCCCACTGTAACATAACAGTGCACATTACGGTATGCTTCTAGAATTCACTTTATTATACTTTGTATATCATGTCTCGGCTGAAGCACAATTTCTTAGTCATGAGAAATTCCAAATATTCCCAAAGAGCTGGCCTCAAGGGTCAGGAAACAATACTGGCTGGATCTTGGTTTGCAAAGCCTCAGTGGCTTCAGAATTGGGTAGCTTTAGGAGAATAACATTCTTATACTAACATGAAACTGCGCGTGTGTGTGTGTGCGTGCGCGTGTACAGTACGCAGATGACACACAGCCCTGGGCTGCAGTACTTACCCACACAGTCACAGCACTCCTCCCAGAGCGAGCCCAGACACAGCATGCACTCCTTACAGCAGGAGCAGTTCCCATCCGACGGCCTGCACTGGCACAGCTCCTGCGCACACACACACAGCCACGTCAGGGAGAACGTCAAAAAAAAACAGGCCCGACCGCAGCCGCGACACAGGACGCAAGAGCACTGTCCACACCACAAACCTCAAAGCATTGAAGACGCTTCTCCCGTGCGTCCCGTGGTGAAATAGCGTACTTTGTGATTCTGTAGCAAATCGGGATGGCAGGTGGGGAGGGTCTGTGCCCTCGAAGTCTAGGGGTCGCCCAGCAAGTTTCCACTGACTTAACACCCCCCTGTGCAAGAGCCACAGCCCAGCTGGAGCAGCTCTGCCTGCACACCCCCTGAGACTTTATAAGAGCTCATGTGTCATCATTCCCATTCTTGTGCTGCTAACCTGGATGCACACCCTACATATTGCAGTGCCTGAAGATCAATTTAATAATGCATCATCTGAGAGCCTGTTATACTTAGCATTAACCACCAATTTATTCAGCTCAGCCATCATCTAAGGCAAATTGCACAAAACCATCACAATCTGCATGTTATTTGTCACATGTTGTGAGTTTGGCACGTTTGAGTTAGCATTCCTTTTATATTGCTGTTACCATTTCAAAGGTAGCTTACATTTTTATTCCAATGATGTAGTTCCAATTTACAGTACATCACAGCAGTGAGATTTGTGGAACTGAATAGTTTCACTATCCAAAATTCTTGCAGACACATACAGACCTGAGAAGTTCAGAACAAGACAAAAAAGGAAACACAGCACCGATGCTCAAGGCAGCCATAGCGTATGCCGAGTTTACAGACAGGTTGTAATCATCAAATAATAAGTACCAGCACACTCAAAACGTATTCATGCTTCCATGTCCACACAGGCCATGGCTGGGGGGTGAGGGGGGGGCTTTTGGTTTCACAGACTGATTTTCAAAGTTATCACAGAATATCCACTATACCCAAATACCAAATGCAAACATCTGTCACTTTCAGCGCGTCTGAGCGAGTCGTAACAGCCGAGACCCTCCACCCAATCTAGCCTCTCCGAGTGCGGACCGACCCTCAGAGCTCATCCAGCTGTTTCATGTTCCAACCTACCCAGGCGGAGAGATGGTGCCATTGAGAAAACATTATTCACCTGTTAGTAAAACTCACCTTTTTACAGTTTCAAAGCTCAGAATATTTTATGTACAATGTTAACATAAAGCTTAAACTTCATCAGCCCATTCCGGCCGATGAATATTCGTGTACCTACGGTGTATGTATATAAAGACATTTCATTGCCAGCAACTACTGCTGCATGCTGTATTGATGAGCATTTGATAAATAAACTTGGACTGATTGATAAACTTGACTGATACATGGAAAGAAAGTATTTAATAGTATCTTTGTATCTAATAACACCTTTGAGGTATTGCTAAGTTTACCTTATTAACTTTGTCCACTCTGAATCAATCCTGTTCAACATGAATGAATCATTATATTTACTGTCATTTGTGTGCTGGGGCAGACCATATGAAATGTATTTAGTAGTATTTTGGCTTTGAATAAACCGAGAATGGTATTGCCACATTTTGAGTCAAGCCTGCTCAACACGAATGAAGATTATACGTCACTATATTTGTGCAATGACAGACCAGATGACATTCCATTTCATTAAACTGTGAGTCGAGAAAGATTTCTTTTTAAAAAAGGTTCTCTGAGGCCATGCACTGAGACACAGGGAAAGTGAACTGAAAGTGTTTTTACCATGAGCCATGTAACCAATGAGTGCTGACATGCAAAGGTGTCTCATTACCCTGCTTTTAACGGAGCACCTGAGGTCCACAGCTGCTCTTCATCACTAAAGCACAGTCCTGGAGAAAGGGCTTAGGGCTTAGGGCTTAGTCCAGTGTTTGGGACAGTCTTTATTCTCCCCTTGTATGAGTCTTCATAGAACTCCAGCACGTAACTTGACACCTCTAGGATGTCTTCACGGAGCAGTGGCTCTGTGGCTGGAAGGTTTGTATTCCGCAGCCGGCAGAGGAATTCTACTCCGTTGGACCCCTGAGCAAGGCCCTTCACCCCAGCTGCTCCAGGGGCGCTGTATAAATGGCTGACCCTGTGCTCTGACCCCCAGCTTCTCTCCCTGTCTGTGTGTCTCATGGAGAGCAAGCTGGGGTATGCAAAAAGACAAACTCCCAATGCGAGAAATTGTATTTGGCCAATAAAGTGATCTTATCTTCACACAGAGAGCCGCATCTAACATTACAAAACATGAGCTTCTAACCATGCTGAGCTCATCTGAAGGGAGTCAGCCTCTTTCTCCTCACACACTTAACACACCTCTGCTCAGAGCCTGCCAGCTCCATTCAGACACGCCTCTCGGTCACCCACTTTCAAAACAGTCTGCTCCTCCACTGAGACGAGGCATTTCTTCCCGCTGAGCAGCCAGGCTGCCGGCTACCAGCTGCTCCCTGTCTGGGCATTCAATCTCACTCTTATCTACCGGACTACTGTCGTGCTGTCTTCGTTGCGGAATTGTTGGATTAGTCTGTGCTGTAAAACACATTTCCCCCAGGAGATAATAAAGGTGGAACTGATGTTATCATCTGCGTTTTCCCTCTCCCTTTCAGGTTCTCTGCAATTCTGATCTGAACCCACACCAGTCTAAACCCTGCTCCTTTCGGTGCCTATGCCTCCTGTAGGAGGAAGAAAAATAGGACACAGCAGACAGCTACTACCTGGTGCTGCGCTGTTTGCATGAGCACTGCTTGCACAAGAAAAATGGGTTCACTATCCTCTCACACATTTCCTTCTGATCTCATATGCACATGCACTGCTCTGTGTTCACGTGTAAATGTGCGCTCTTCCTCCACTCCCACACATTGTCTTGATCTATTTGTACAGGTTACCTGACAGAATTATCTGTTTTCTCGTCTTGAAAGTTAAAGACGTGCTCTCCCTACACACCCACATCTTCCTCATCACTTGATCTCCGACTGATGTGCTTCCCTCGGGACTCTCGTTAACCTGCCGCAGTGTAGGATGGAATGATTTATAAAATAAAAACAATCGTCACATCCTGTGCTGTAGGTCTTTCTGCAGAGCACATGCTTGACTGCACCGATGATGGGACTGCAGGCCTCTTGCATTGGCAAACAACTGGCAGGTCTGATACAGATCACTGGGCTGCAGTGGACCCCCTCAGTTATGTGTAGAGGCAATAAAGAAGGTCAACACAAGGCTTGGATGTGCTGAATTCTGAAAAGACTTGCATTCAGATCAAACAACTTCAGGTTAAAACCACTTGGCTGAGAATGCCAAATCTACTGAAAAATGATCGGTTTTACTCACCATTTTACAAAAGATACTATGAGAATGGAAAGAATTCAACGAAGGCCATTATTTAAAATAATCACTTAGCCTCTCAAACTAAAAATCTTAACGAACAGACCTGTTATCCAGACACAAATCTTTGTGATGCAAGCCATGAGCTACACCACATAATTCTTCACCCAAAAGTATGATCTCACTTCCACAGCAAGTCCCAACAACATGGTACACGGTTTGAGAGCACTGAGAGTACAACCAGGTGTAAGACGGGGTAAAAGCACAATTTAACAATTTGTATTGGTTCTTTGACCAAAGGGTCTCACAGGTTACCACAATTACATGTAGCCAATAGAAGAGCAGTTTTTTTCTGCAGTGCTGTCCAATCACAGGTAAAAGACATGGCCAGCAGCCCTGTCACCCTGCAGCTCACAGCTGGCAGCCCACTGGAGCTCAGCAGGTGTGAGCCTGGTCAGTACCTGGAGGTGAGACCTCCTGGGAAAAACTAAGGTTGCTGCTGGAAGAGGTGTTAGTGGGGCCAGTAGGGGGCGCTCACCCTGCGGCTCATGTGGGTCCTAATGCCCCAGTATAGTGACGGAGACACTATACTATAAACAGGTTCCGTCCTTCAGATGAGACGTAAAACCGAGGTCCTGACTCTCTGTGGTCATTAAAAATCCCAGGGCGTGGATATCCTGATATGTTTCACAACATATGAATATGAGTTTACTTGTAGCGCTAAGCTAAGGCCAAAAGAATATTAGTCTTTATATTTCTGTTCAGTACATTATGTTTGGCGATTATACTGGAACTTCAAGGATAAAAAGAAAATCAACCAGCTGTTTATGTGCAGTAATTATAAAATTATCCTATTGGCCCTGCAGATAACTACACAGAAAGACAGAATCATACAGTGCCTATTAAACGATTGCAGAATGAAAAGAATTGGATGTTGATGTAGATGTAATCTTTTTTTTCCACTAGCGCATTTGTTTAAAAAAACAAATTACACGCCTACCTCTAACAGCAAAAAAACAGGACGAAAGGACACAGACGGAATGGGTGTTTTTATTACAGAAACAGACGTAACATCACAAAAAAATATGTATGAAAACCGATTCATCGAAATCCAATTTATACTACTAGGTACACGCTTGAACAGAATAAAGACTCAACGTTTCATGTCTCACTGAGGAACAGAGCAGGGGGCTACAATGACTGAAATTTGTTTGAGGAAGCTTTCTAAAGCATGTAGGAAATTAAAAAATGCACTTAACGGGCTTTGCAAGTTAAAACATTTTATGCGCTCGCTCACTCCAGGCCTTTCTTAAATAAGAAGCAGGCACTGCATTCCTCCACGTCACGGTCAGGGCTGCTTCAGGAAGAAGCAAAAAAAACACCTTCTTGGTACATCGAAAGCAGCCTGCCTGATGAATGCAAGTCTTTAGATATTCAGTTTCTCTGAAGCCTTTGCCTTTGGAAAGATCTCTCTCACCGTGAGCTGTGCAAAGCGCATTTCATTTCTTTTTTACACACAAGATTCGTTTCAGGCCCTAGTAGTTCTGCAACTATTTATCAATCTGTGCATTTGGCTTCTTACTCTAAGCAGGCACTGGAACAAAGAGCTAGTTCTGCTGCAGCAGTGAGTAATCTGTTCCACATGTGACAACAGCAAAAAGGGCATGGTGTCAAGTTTTAAAAATGCAAACATTCAAATCCGCATCTACCAAAGC